CAAAGGCGCGCGCATCCGCAATTTAAAGTCAAATTCCTTTGTCAAGGCACAAAGGGGGTGAACGTGTCCAGGCGCACACCCGCACAATACCCCCTGGGGCGCACACCTGCACCTGCACGCACATTTCCTGGAAAAAAGGGGGGAGGGGGCGTGGGAAATTCCCCAATACTGGCCACTTACTACTCTCACTTCTCCCCCTTTTTTTTTCTTCAGAGTCGAGCCATCCCTTCTTTGTTTTGCTCAATCTTTCGTGTAGCCGCAAGTTGGCTGGCCTTACCCCCAACCCTCGAGCTAATTTGTAAGGAAAAGGCATTTATTCTTTTGGTTGTGTTAATTGTTATCTAACGATGTTAAGAGTCTAGAATATATCGATATTAAACCTATCTAAATTCCCCGAATCATCATTTGCTCCCCTCCCCCTCTTTCGATATTTCAGGTCCCCCCCCCCCCCCCCGTAAATCACAGTAAATTCCCGATTATCGTGCCTTGGTTGGGAATTATCCAGGCTACTTCTCCGGACAAGGTCACAATATATATAACCGCACACAACACAGGACCATAGCAGCTATCGTGTAGGGTGGGGGGCGAAAGGGAATTATTACTTTGTTATTTAATCAATTAATAAGGAATGTACAAACGAAGAAAAGATGTAATTCATGATCTGCAAACAATTTTCTATCGAATTGGCTATTTATTCAACCCATTGGGTAATTTTTGATTTTATTCCGGCCAGCATCATGGCAAAAATGGAATAATTATTTATCATTATTGAGTGAATGTACAAACAAAAAAAAAGTAGTACAATCATGTCCTAACGATGTAGAATCGAATACATGAGATAGTTTTCCTAGTTTGTACTCTTTCTGCTAAGTACACTCGGCCAATTAAGTTCGTAAAAGACTTGAAGTCGGCAATAAACGGAGACGACGTAACTATAAATACCTACGCTGAAATAACTAGGCCGAAATTTCGATGATAGGTTCGTATCTCCAGAAGATCAATTCTTGCTTCAACGTAATCGGTAGGAATGAGAGAATTGGAACAGTGTTTGACAGAACCAATACTTTTTGGAGTGAAAAAAATTAATTTTGACAGATAAATAGTCGTGTTCGAAAAGCTGGGGTAACGTTCGCGTTCAGAATTTAGAATTTTTTGCGATTTTTAAAGGCAATTTTAGCCCCATGGAGCCTTTAAATTCAGTGAAATAAATTAGATTTTGTGAAATTTTATTGTAGTTACGTGTAATTTTTTTTTTACGTTAAAACAGGGCAACGCTAGCTTGAGGATTATCCTTCGTTGACTTTGCCAATAATCACAGATTGAATTGAGTACAACTCCGAATCTAAAGAAGATGATAAAAATTTTATTATAACCTTTTTTGTGGAACTTATAAATTGCTACAACAAATGTGAATACATAAAATCCGCTGTCTTTCTTAGTTTCCCAAATATTGCTCAAAAACTCTACTGATAGATAAGTCAAGTTATCTCTCTTTACTACTTCGCTACTGAATTATTCTGAGGAAACTCTATGGGATAGATTGATTCTTTGTAAAATTCACTAGGAACAATAAAATAATAATTCAAATGATATCGTCATTTTTTATATCTTTATTTTTTTTCGATTTGGCAATAACATATTATTCCATAAAATTCCACTCACATCCTAGCCAAACATTCCCATTATCTCCTCCCAGAACTGTCGATGGCAAGGATACGAAGAAGAAAAAAAATGGGGCTCTTCTTAATCAGCGTCAAAAAATGAAAAAATAATTGAAGAAAGGAGTTTGACTGCAACGGCTCATTCTCAGAGTGATTTATGAGCAAATCTCTGCAGCATAGAGGCTGAAAGCAAAAAAAAACACCAAACGTAATCATGTAATGTAAAAAACAAATTGATGTCATAATGGTGAAAGAGCAACAGAATACTTCGGTTTTGTTTTTGTTCTGTCAGGTAGCACTGTTCTCAAGCTCCATATTGATGTCCTCCACCATGCAATCGACACGTTCCATCACCTGAAGCAGTGCCTCGGTAGCTCTTTTTAGTTGTGTCTCCCCTTTCATAACTTCAGTTAATCCGACCTTCTGGATGGCCACCTGCTTTTCGGCAGCCTGCACAAGATTTTTCACTTCTTCTAGCTTTTTTGTTATAAAAACCAAGGTTGATTGTCAATGGGAAATGTATGAAAAACTTTAACAGAAAGAAGAAGGGGAGTCGGAGAGAAGTGCCCAAGCACTTTTGAGGGTGGGAATAAGGGAGATAAAAATCGTGATTAATATTACTTCTTTCACACTCCGGATCCGGACATCCATCACACTACATGCAGACTGTAACTGCCTCATCTGAAAAAAGATAAATATTATTAATCACTGCAAAAAATGTAATTGTGGGCTATTAGGAAAAAAAAAATTACTTACCCATTTTTCTCCTGCACGTCGATGGGAAGCAGAAGGTGAAGAACGCGTGTTGCTCCAACCAAGTTTCACGAAAAGTGAGGCGAGTGCGAAAATGCGGTTCATGGGGCCATTTGATTTCCTTGTTTTTCTGAGAAATTTTATATCAAACTGCTCGTTGTTAATTTCCAGAATTTTCGTCGGTGCCCCGTCGTTATCCAGTAGAGATTGATCTTTTGTTTTTCTGGAGGGGAATGATCGTGAGTGGGAATCGGGTAGAGCAGGGATATACTGAAGTCAACATAAGTTTTTATTTCGAGAATGCGAGTGGGGAGCATGGGTTTGTATGTAAAATTGATGTGGTGAGGGTAGGTTGTCATGGCAAAACTCATTTCCATTTCAGTATATCCAATAGTCTTTCTCGTAGCATTTACTCGGTGTCACCACTCCAAGTTAAAATCCCTCATGCTTATCACCCACTCTGAAAACGAAAAGATTACTTTCTATTGGATTTACAATATATTCATCGCTCACCCTTTGACAGGAGAAGTTATTTATTTTTCAATATAAAAAAAAATTTTCAGCTCATTCGAGGAAGCATACGTCTGCAAGGAAAATGAACGGTGGGTTTTTCTTTCATTAAGATGATTTGGTTGGTCTCTCTATCTAATCTATTTTGATTGTTCTCGCTGCAAATGATTTCCCTGTAAAAGAAATTCTCGCTCTATCCAAGGGGATAGTAAGGAGTCCAACATTTCGCAACAAGCGCCCAATCATACAACAACTGGAGGCCCAAACTGAGTGCGATTACACTTTTGCTCTAGCCCGATCAATGGTGAGATCAGTTTACGATTTGGCATTGCAATTGAAGGATTTTGGTGATGAGCTGATGGCCAGGGATGGACAAGGTTTTACTTTGGAACCGATCACTACACCATTTTTTCCTCCATGTAAGTAGACAACTCAATAATCATTTTGGAGCAATTATTATAATTCTTGTATTATATCGTAATATAATTGTATTCTCTATTATTGGCCTTGTGGATGAGAGTTGCAATGTTTAATTATACAGATATTTGCGATAATTTTTCATCGAAAGAAAAAATTGAAAAGATTCTCATTTTGGAGCACTCGTGTTTTTATTTGGACTCGACCTGTTGTTCGCGGTCGTACGTGGCAGAATGCATTCCTCCATAAAAAAAAATACATCAGTGAACGCAATTTGAAAAATCATAAAAATCCCTGGGAAACCCCTAGAAAACATTCCCCGGGTGATAAATCCTCGGTTCCTCACTAAAGATGTGAAAAAACCCCTCCACATGTGAGTGTGGATCACAGAAAGTTGTCAAGATAACCTGAAAGGCTGATGTTGGGAATCGAGAATTACTAACCTAAAACCCTTGAAATAATGACGCCAGTGCCGTTGGAGGATCACCAGTCCTCAGTTATCAACAGCATGCCCCAGGCAAGCAGTCGTGGTAGTTCTATATCCTTGGGGATGCTGATTGCTTTTACAATCCAACGTACTTTGCATGAGCTGACAGTGCCAGGAGAGTTCTTCCACAGGAAATTTTGTCCACCAGATGAGAAACCTGGAGGTCCAAGCGGCAAGAGCGACAATTGACCATGCAGTGACGTCGAGGAGAGTCTGATGTTCAAGGATAATACCTTATGAGTAGGATTATGTGTTAACTGTCCTGGGATTTATTCATGCAGGTGTCTTGATGGTTATAGACTTGGGGGAGGATGCGAGCACCTATTCATGTTAACATGCACTGAGTGCACGTTGAAAAGATCACCAGCAATTCTCGCTATACAAATTTTCGAGCTCTGTCTCAGGGGTAAACTTCAGCTTGCCACTATTGATCCATATACTGGAATGCTGCACCATCATATGAAGCTGTTTTGTTCGACACTAAGATTATAAATTAGCATTTTTAATAATATTATTTTATTATATTTTCAAAGAAAAAATTATTGCTCCAAAATTTGATTTCAGTTTTCCACTTTCTAATTGCTATTCTTGGGTACTTAACGGATACGATTTAATTTGCAGATCTTAGTACCGGGGTATTCAGGGCGGATTTATATCTCAACATGGAGGGATTGGTGGAAGAATTAATGAATTTGAATCACATGTTGAATCAAATTCGCCAATGCCAAATGGAAATCATTGCACTACTCCACAGATTGATTTGTCTCGGCAGGGTACTCCAAGTGAAGGTCGAGAGACTCCAACAGCATTCTCTTCGCAGGGTCAATTGATACGAGGATGGTGACTGAAGAGGGGCCAAGAGCTGACCACAGTGGCTTCCAAGTGGGAATGATTGGTCAAGGATGATTAATTAATATATTATTGATAATTATGAAACTTTAGAAGGCCTTGAAAAAAACAAACTTTTCTATTATAAACACAAGATTTTCCTACTGTCTCAAGATATTGTAATTAAATAAATTGATCAATTTGTTAGAAAAAATGGTTAAAATTTAATTTATTTAACGTTTTTACACAAATCTCAAAACTCCTTGTCCACTGGCAAGCAAACTGATAATCGTGGGGTTACTACTGACCCTGGAGACCTGGAGACTCCTGGAGGGCCGGCAAAGTACGGTCTTGGGTAGGATTGGGGGAAGAGGGGGCGAAATTGTAGCCGCTAAACAAACGCTCGTCGATTGTCAATTTTTTCATTTCATCATTCCAGTGTAGATTGAAGGAATAATATTTTTTTTGTTGATTGGGCAGCCATGGGAAAACTGGGCTCACCAGATTTGGGTCTGGACGTCAAGGTCCAGATTGTGGGGCAGTGGCGAGGGAATATACGAAAAATTAACATTGCCAGAGAGCTCGATATCAGTGTACGTATCATTGCCAACCGTCTCTGTCCTTTCCTAACATCTATTTTTTCCTGTCTCATTTCATCCAATCCTTCCTGCTGTCGTTTCCATCCCTTTCAGCCCGCCACAGTCACCAAGTATATTAGAAGATTTGAACAGGAAGGAAATGTTTTAACGAAACTCCGTTCCGGCCGGCCTGCAATACTGGACAATGCAACAAACGAAGCAATTGTGCATGCTGTTCGACAGTCACCTTTCGTCAGTTCCGTGCAAATAAAGAGAAATTTTCGTCTGCAGTGTTCTGTGCAAACCGTGCGTAATCGTCTATATGATGCTGGTTACTACTGTCATAAGCCAGGCAAGAAACCAGGAATGACACAGCAGCATAAGGATCGTCGACTCCTATTTTCCCACCAACATCTTGCATGGGGTGATGAGTGGAATTCCACGATATTTGTTGATGAGAAGGTTTTAACCACAGCTGAAACCGGGAGACGACCATTGTGGAGATCGACGGGAACTCGGTATGACGAGTAGAACCTTTTACGCATGCATCACTGCGGATGATCTTTGCACATCAAACAGTCGTCGTCGGCACTGCAGTATCGATTGTCATGATTGGGGAGCTTCGCGATTTGCACAGACACTTGTAGCTTCCCCAAACATTGACACAGTCATCCTGACAGATTGCAGGGACACTCTGACACTCATTGATGTCTTCGCATGCTTTGCCGTGCCGCAGCTGGGTAAAACTCTCACCCAGTTCTAGCTCCCCAGGGTGTTGTTACATCTGTAGGTAGGGAAGAAGTCGTTTTGGAGTTGACACCCGTTACTTTCGACGTAGACCTGGGGAATCGTTTAAAAAATAATTAATTGACTCAGCTCCGAGACCTCGGCTAGAAATGTAATGCTTGTAGCCTCGACCTTCAGGTTTCTCATCCGCGGAAATAATAGTTCAAATGAAATAATTCGATTTCTATTTCGAAACAACAAAATCAAGAAAAAATGCTTTTATGTTAAAAAAAAAGTATTTATTTATTAGCGTTGAAAAATGCGAGCTCCAGCGGGCGCCAGCTAGCTTTTTATGGGCCAAAAGCTAACGAAAACCGAAAGAACCGAAACAAGGGCAAGGAGGGGGGGGGGGGGGCCCTGCCTTGCCCGAGGTCGGCCGACCTCGTCAAACCTAACATCCGACATATCCAAAAACAAGAGCACGAAAGGACAGGACGAGGGGGGGTTGGAACTCGTCCTAGCGACAACACAAAATCCGTAAATCCATAAATCCCAAAACCGGGGAGTCCGTACTCCCAAAACTAGAACGATAACCTCATTACCGTAAAACTACCCGCGAGAAGCTAGAAGCTGATGACGAATGGAACGGAAGCGGGAAGACCTGGGTTGCTCAGGATGCTAGGTCGTGGAGAGAGGGCCAGGGTCCACGGATACGCGACTATAATAACCGAAATCTAGACAGAGAACAAATCGTGGATCGAGATACCGAGAGCATACTTGCGGGGTTCGGGGGCGCTGAGGGCGACCTCTGAGAACACCTCGCCGAGAGAGCGACGTAAGATAGCAGAGTGCCGGGAGGCCGAGAGCGTGGGGATTACTCACCCAAAAGCACACCATCGAGAGCGTGCCCGGCCCACTAGGGTAGCCCCAAATGTAGAGAGCCTAACTGGGGAGAGTATGGTTCTCACCCAGAGAACACCAGGAAGAACATGGCCCTCACCTACAGAACACTACCCGAGGAGGGTATTGCCCTCACTCAGAGAGTACTCCCGGGGAGAGGATGATCCTCACCTAGAGAGCGTAGAAGACCAATGCTGGGCATTGGGAGCCAGCTAAGGGCTCGAGAGAGAGCTGCCAGTGGTCCGCACTGGGAGCCAGCCGAAGCGGCTCTGCCGAGTGAGTCGACAGTGTCGGCAGTAGTGCCGATGCCTCCCCACTCTCGACTACGGCTGGGTAAACTGCCGTGTGCCGGGACGTGCTGCCCTCGCCGCAAGGAGGATATCCCTGACACTAGCTTCTCCTGGAGCGCGCCGAATTCGAACGTCGCCACTGACCCCTTCGAACAACCCCTTCGAAGGATCAGCCGTCCGAATGCCTACCCCATCTAACATGGAGCGCTCATACGTCGGTATGAGTCCTATGCTATGTGCCAGGAAGTCTCATAGGGGAGCTGGGAATGTTTCCACGTGTCCGCCCTGTGCTGTTGCCTGTCTTCAGGCCTCCTAACACCCTAAGCACTCGGGCCCCAGTCCCCACACCCCTCGACGATTCGAGTAATTCCCGGGAGGAAGTCGAGATGGCAGAAGTTTTAGATAACTTAACCCAAGATACAGTTTAATGTGCGGGATTTCCAAAAATCCCGTTACACCATACTGCCTCATAATTTCCCTCCTTCCATCAATTACGATAAAAACTTGAAATTTTTTAAAAGTCTCAACTATTTCTAACTCTAGTCTTGTCCTTTTAATTTCTTCCATGTGTCTTTTTACGCAGCCAATGTCGACAAAATCTGTATGAAAAAATAAGCTCATTTCATTTTATGATGCAATGCCTGATCATAGTGTCTAGCTCAATGTCGATCCTGTTTACCACTTTTCATCAGCAGCTTTATCCAAATCAATTTTTTCAATCATCCTTTGCAAAAGTTTCCTCGTCTTCTCCAGCATCAACTTCCTGGTGTCACTGTTCCTGTCAGCATGAGCACTTCTCATATGCCTGAGATAACCCCGAGGCAGTCCGATCCTGAAATGTAAACCCTCAGAGATAGCAATTTTCAGAGACTCAAACTCAGAGTCTCAATCTTTCATCTCACAAACCTGCTCCATCTCCGCCTCAATTTGTTCTTCTTTTTATTGTCGTGTTTGCGCTTTTCCTCTTCCAATTGTACCAGTGGATTCCTGAAATAAAAGAGGAAACTTTTGTGATGTGAGAAGACACAATTGAAAATAGCGAAAGAGAAGTGATTTTACCTTACAAATTAGGGAGCTCTTATGGAATTTTAAATGAGTTGGCGATTTATCAAAACTTGAGATGGTGCAAATATTAATAAATCTCACAGAAGATTCCCACGTAGACAGCTGGAGAAATTGTCTTGAGTTCCGACCGAAATTTTATATTGAAATTTCATCGGTGGCCGGGTTCTTCATCTTAAATTTATTCCTTGACTCAATTCAACCTGTGATTATTAGCAAAAGTCAACGAACAATAATCCTCAAGCTAGCGTTGCCCTGTTTTAACGTAAAAAAAAAACTTACAGGTAACTACAATAAAATTTCACAAAATCTAGTTTATTTCACTGAATTTAAAGGCTCCATGGGGCTAAAATTGCCTTTAAAAAACCGCAAAAAATTCTAAATTTTGAACACGAACGTTACCCCTGCTTTTCGAACAGGACTATTTATCTGTCAAAATTAATGTTTTTCACTCCAGAAAGTATTGGTTCTGTCAAACACTGTTCCAATTCTCTCGTTACTACCGATTACGTTGAAGCAAGAATTTATATTCTGAAGATACGAACCTATCATCGAAATTTCGGTCTAGTTATTTCAGCGTAGGTATTTATAGTTACTACGTCTCCGTTTGTTACCGACTTCAAGTCTTTTACGAACTTAATTGGCCGAGTGTTCACGGGGGTTGTTGGTGGTTCCAAAATGGGAAAAGAGATGTCGTAAAGGCAGCATCGAGATCGGTCATCACAGCCTGGATCAATACCGCGAGTTATTGGCTAGGAGTAACTGGAAGGGAAAAAGTAACTTCTTCAAGCACTACTGCAAGGAGGTCGGTAAATTCACCAACGTTATTAAGGGGAATACCCTTGTGGAGAATTTCGAATTAGTCTCATCAATGCTTTTCATGCTTTGAAATTGATTAGTTCAGTAACATAATTTTGGTATATAAATTTATTGTTTATACTATAACAATAAAAGAGGACGGTTGATTACTCATTTAACCTTGGGAGCCACAGTACAACTCCTTTTCTTTTTAGTGTCGGTAGACTGTAAACATGTCTCCGTAGGGTCAAGTCGAAGGCACAGACTTAAAATAAAATAGTTTTCGTCTCCGAAGGGAAGAAAACGTATATTTTACGTCGTACCAAGGCTTAAGCCGAGTACGGGCTTATCGTCATTCGGAGTTTGTTTTTTCTGAATATTCTGCGCTCCCCGCGGAGATGATTTGTCGGCACAAGCTGGCTTGGGGGTAGCTGCCTTGGACGATTTAAACAGGTTTAGGTTCACACACCTGCAAAACATACGCAAGGTAAAGGCACGACCTAAAATATAGTTTTTATTCCCTTTAGGGTGGAAAAACACGGGGTCAAAAACAAACTTTAATTATCCGCATCAATTTTCACCGAAAATATAATCTGAGAGTTCGAAATATTCGCCGCCTTCTGGACTGAAAAGTTCAGGAAATTAATAAGATGCGCTGGATATCCGGCCATAACTACTGAGAGGTGTATTGAATCGGTTTTATGAATACGCCATTTCATCAAGACGGAAGAAAAAGATAATTATTATAATGACAGTAGTATGCTATGAGACCTAAATCGAACATGAGGCATCTCGTCAGTACATGCGTCCATTCCAAATATCACACTTATTTTATATCAGATACTGTGAGAGCCTCTGTCACTGCAGTAGTAAAGGAACTTTTTGTTTGCACCTTAGTAAATATGGAATAATGCGGTAAAAATAAACATTCCTGTCACTCCTGAAAAATTGTGAAATTTCGACATACGGAATGTTTAAAATCGGGAATTGCGGAGCACACAGTGTGATTGCCCAAAAAAAGTATTTTTTGCAATTTTTTAAAGAAAAATACTCCATAAAATACATAATAAATTTTTTCCATCGAAATGGTAATTTATGCTACAGGAGCTGAAAAGCATTTTGGGAACGTATTTCATCAAAATCCTCGCTAAAGGTGCGGATTCCGATCTAATATGTTGTTAAAAATCGTTTCAGACCGTGTGGCATATTTTGCTTTATGTTACGGGCTCTATTTCTTTAAAAAATTACAAAAAATATTTTTTTTGTGCAGTCACACGTAGTGTGCTTCTTAATTTCCAATTTTAAACATTCAGTATGTCGAAATTTCACAATTTTTCAGGGAGTTCATATTTCCCGAAATTTCCTTATTCACGACAAAAAAATTATTGATGATATAAATACGTCCTCTTACGAGTGTGCGAGCACGAGTGTAGTGGTATATTAGTATGCTGCGATACAAGTACGAGAAAGCAGTTTTTAAAGAGTGTGAGGCTGGCATCGTAGTCACTGCAAAGTAGTTTTCTTTACATGTATTGGAGAAAATTTTATAATTCTGATACAAAACAGTGGCCTTTTTGTTACTGTTGTCATAAAATTTATTTCTAGGTGTAAATTTTGTTATGTGCACAAGAGTTTCTCGTTGGGAATACATGTCTGTGGAATAAATTTTGATTATAAAAAATGTGTGAAAATTATTTCTGAGAAGCTTTCGCAACTTCAATATGCAATGACAAATTTATATTTCCACTCATTTGGTTATTCATAGGCCCCTTTCTTTACGATACTTACAAATATAAAGCACTCCATCTTTTTCACCGTGTTCTTTCTCAGCTTCACTGCGGAGTGTAAATCCTGGTTAAGTAGTCATGAATACAAATTTTTGATGCCATCAACCTGACCATGAGCAGAACCGATGGTGTAATTAATGGTGATGCACCAAAGTAAATGCTAATTTCTATCGGTTACAATTCATATTTTATCTTTCATAACAAATGATTATGTAGTACAAGTTATACAAAGAAAAAATAATTTAAAACTAATCAACAATTATGTAGTAATATTTATTCAAATTATAACAATAGCAGAATATCCTGGACGCGAAAAATATGATTTTTTCAATCTCGTCAAGGTTTCTAAACTGTGTTATCACAATTCTTTGTAAAAATAAAAACGAAAATTTCACATGAACTTTTTTTAAATATATATTTGTAATCATGAAAAATAATAATTCCTAAAAGTGACTTTTTTTGCATTCTGAAATTTTTTTTCTCACAATAACTGAGGTTAGACTCTGAATATTGTTCGAATATTGAACAATTTCTTAAATATTTTGAGAATTCTTGAGCTAGAAAAAAAAATAAATGTAAATATATGAATTTTTTATATATGTCCAAGATATCGCTATAATATTCCCACCATCAGTTTCAATCGATATCTAACTTTTTAAAGCTCCCCTCCACTCCGAACAAATCGGTAGCAGTTTTTTGCTTCCCTGGGCGCAGCGCCTCGTTGACTCGCATAGTCTGTTCATCTTCCAGGAACCAATCACGATTTGCTTCAAGTCTTTTAATGTTCTTAGCATGAAGTTCCATCAAAGAACCAGCCTTTCCTCCCGATTCATTAGGTAGAAGTTCGATGGGAAAGAATTTCGCAGCAGTTTCATTGGAAGTATGGATGTGAAGCTGTAGTAGAAATGAAAGAAGAAACATTAATCAATTCGATATTCCAGTTCCCTGAAAAAATGAGAATGCAGAACAAGAAAATTTGCAATTATTTTGTGAATTTCTCGAGGAGACGTCCATAGGAATACCTGGAAATATTTTGATAAAGTATTGATACTTTGGAGACGATAACATAATCGTGTGAAAATATTTAAGCATTTTTCTCTTAATCCGCTAGTTTGAGCTGTAGTTGTAAAATTTCCAACATATTCTCCAACTAATTGGTCCACGTAAGAAGAAAGTAATGGAATCGTTCCGAAATCTTAAACAAAAAATTATGGAGAAAATGATAGGTGCATATATTGTGACGTTGGCCGGAGAATAAATATAAAATAATTCCCAACCAAGGCACAATATTCGGGAACATCTTATAAGTCGTAAAATCAGGGAGAATTTCAATACAGTAAGAGGGAGGGGGGTGTTGAATGATTACTCAGAGGATCCATGTATACAGTGGACTCTCGATAGTTGCAACACGTTAGGGGCTGTAGGGGTACCCGATTCGTGGAAAGTGGCAACTAACTCGGGCCCCCACTCCTGCGCGCCGCTCGGTCTCAATTCTGGGAAATTTAAAGGGACAAAAAGTATTTTCTTTTTCGGTGTCGAATAAAATGAAATTCATTCCAGATTTGTACATTTATTTCTTATCATCCGCAACATCATACACAGTATTGAAAGGTAGATAACTTAACAATTGGAAGGCACCTGATGATTTAACTAAAGAATGGAAAGTTCGATATTATTAAGAAAAAAATCATGAAAAATAAATTTAAATTCCTATTTTTCATTAAACTAGAGGAGTGAACTTTATGCATGAAGCCTTGTGTCTAATATTCCACAAGAAAGTCATCTCCTCAGGAGCAAGGGCCCCGTGATGTTCAAAAAAATTAATTAAGGAGTCGATGGAGTTTTCAGCGCACTCTGCGGATATGACAGAGTTGGCAGTAGGTTCAGGTTCCGTTTCCTGTCTCTCAGCATCGTTCACATCAAATTGTTCTTCACAACTCGGATTAGTAGCACTGTCGGCTCTCTCAATCTCACATGTTTCTTCATCAATGAAGGGGGGACTCACCATATCAACAATTTCCTCGTCGGATAAGTTCTTAGGTTTTTCTTTGTCAGCGTTATTAATCCATTCTTCGATATCATTTTCTGTGAGACCTGTCGAATTTTGGAGCAACAGGAACGCATTGATGAAGTGTTGCAGAAGTATTGTTTGTTGGGGTTCATTCTTCTGAAGCTCTTTGAAAATTACTAATGGTATCAGTGGCTTCCAGCATTTGATGATGGTCAATTGTGAGACTTCGTCCCAACTTTGAGCTACCCATTGGATTACCGCTCTAATTGTAATTTTCTTGATGTGGTCTATCAATGTCCCTGTTGTGTCTTGAGCTTTGATGATTGCAGATAGGAAATGGTATCGATAATTTTTCTTCAAGTTTTCGATGATACCTTGATCCAAGGGTTGAATTATAGAGGTAGTATTAGGTGGGAGAAATACTACTCGGATTTGTCCATCGACGAGATCTTTTGGGTGGCATCCAGCATTATCAACGAGGAGAATGGCTTTAGGTAATAAATTTTTTGACAATAAAAATGCCCTAACTTGCGGAGCAAATTTATTTCTAAACCAAGCCTCGAAAATTGTGGAGTTCATCCAAGCACTTGTTTGGTGAGTGTAAATGACAGGTAAGGAGTCATGAGAAATATTTTTAAGTGCCCGTGGATTCTTGGATTTGCCAATAACAACCAGTGGTAATATGAGAGAAGCATCGGCATTGGTACAGGCCATTATTGTCAACCGTTCCTTATTTTTTTTAAAACCTGCTGCTCCATGATTTTTTCGTACTGCAAGCGTTTTACCCGGCAACATTTTGAAATTGAGACCAGTTTCGTCGGCATTGAATATTTGACTGGGTCCATACTTTTCTTCTTCCAATATTCTTGCTAATTTGATCTTAAAATCTAGGGCACCCTCAACATCTGCTGA